GGTTCTGCATGCTCCCTGAAGACCAGAACCAGGGGACTGTGTTTTGGTGACTGGTTAAGGCTGAATGAGCCCTTTTCCTGGCTCTAAAATCACAAACTATTAGAGCTGGAAGGAACTTAGATCTCCAGCCTCGACCTCCCCCTATGCTTTAGACTTAAATTTCGATCAGCCTGCCGGATATTTCCACCTGTGGACCTCAAACTTGGCAGGTCCACAACATCGTTCATCTTCAGTCTTGCTGGTTCCACTGCACATCCTTCTGATGTCTGTGAACAGCACATTGTCCACCCTGTCACCCACCTTTGAGACCCTCCAGATGCTCCTCTTGCTTGGCCTCCGCATCCCATTAGTCACAAATCCTGCTGAGAGCACCGACCAAGAGGGCTCTCTCTTGTGGGACCCTTTTCATCTCTCCAGTCCATCCTTCATCCTCTCTCATCAGCCCATGACAACAGCTTCCTGACTACTGTCCAGCAGTCTTTAGACAGGCAGATATAGATGTAGATGATATAGATATAGGTGATGTGGATATAGATGGGTGAAATAGATGATGGTGATATAGATGTGGTAGATAGAGATATGGAGATGAAGATAAAGATCCTCTGCAGAATCAAGTCCAGACTCTTCAAAAACCCTTCATATCCTACTCCAGCCTGTCTCTCCAGACCCATCCTGTATCCCTTGCCTTTTATTCTAACAACAGGGCAACTGCCCATCTCTGAAATTGTTTTTATCCATTCTCTAAACACTTAGGGATTCTTATGAAGTGCCAGGCTTTGAGATGGTCGTGAGATACAGGGAGACACAAGACCATCTCTGCCCTCACGGAATCGAGTCTCATAGAGTAAACACACAGGTGCACCCCAGACATCATCTGATGAATGCAGGGCGGGGGGTGGTTACCCTGCTCTGCAAAAACTGGATGCACTCGGCACAGGTTCCCATTCCACACTGTATTCATTTTCTACTGCTGCATTACAAATTGCCACTAACGTAGTGGCTTACAACAACACACGTTTATTGTCGCCGTTCCCTGGGTTAGGAGTCTGGGCATGGTTTAACCGGGCCCTCCACTCAGGGTCTCACAAAGCAGCCATCCAGGTGGGGGCTGAGCTGTGTTCCTCCCTGGAGCTGGGGAGTCCCCCTCCAAGCTCACATGATTGTTGGTCCTGCGGTTGGAGGACTGAGGTCCCACTTTCATGCTGGATCTCAGCTCGGGGCTGCTCTCAGGTGCTAGAAACCACCACAGTTTCTTGCCTTGTGACCCTCACAGACCCTTCATGACTTGACAGCTGTTGCCAAGGCCAGCAAGAGGTTCTCTTCTCCCTTCTGCTGAGATGGAGTCTTATATAAAGTAACCTAATCCCATTGCCTTTGCCGCATAATGAAACATAATCAAGGAAGTGACATGATATCATTTTTGCCATATTATATTGTTCGAAGCAAGTCACAGGTTCTGCCTGCACACAAGGATGGGGATTATACAAGGGCATGACTCATTGGGGGCCGCCCTAGGGCATGCCCACCATCCACACACCTCACAGAATCTTCCCACGATTTGCATACATTCCAAGTGTGGGAGGGTGGGCAGAGTCTCAGAGTCTGGCTAAGGGCTCTTGTTCCCGCTGAGTTACTTGAGCTATGAGACACCGAGCTCTCTCTTCTCCCACATACTGCCCCGGCCACTGGCTCCAGCCCCATGTTCAATGCCAGCTAAAGGCAAAGCCACTTACACAAGGCTGTGGTCCATGGTTTGCATTTCAGGGCCATGAACTTAAAATTTTAGACAACCTTGTTCTTCACAAATCCTTCAGCATGTGACTGGGCCGTATCCTCTCTTCTTCTTGTCATTCCCAGCCCTCGAACCCAACTCCCATCTCCAATTTCTGGTTAATTCTTATTGGTTGAGATGTTTAGAAGTCTCATGCCGTTAGAGTTGCAACTTCCACCTCAACTGGATCAATAAAATATTTCATTCGTCAAAGGCAGTTCCTGCCCTAAGAGGAATTCTAGGCTCAGGCGTTAAGATAGTATGTTTTACTTACTACACAGTGCAAGCAAACGATTACAGAATGATAATGGGCGATGACCAGTACTAGAATAGAAATGCATCAGGGTGCCCTGTGGTCCCCGGGGAGGCATCGCACAGGGGAACCAGCAGAGAACACGTGGGGTCACGGAAGTCTCTGGAGACAAGACGTGACTGGTGCTGTCAAGGCATTAGCGGGGGGATGAAGGAGATGTGGGCCTGTGGGCAGAGAAGAGGAGCACTGAGAAGACACCGTGGGCTCAGAGGGTTTGAGGAAATGCTGTCATTCAGGACGGCCATCCTGGGGGTGAGGAGGCGGCAGAAGATGAGGCTGTGAGGAGGGCAAGTCCCACACCCTTTGCTAAAGGAGCTCAAACTGGGTTCTGTGTCCATGAAGCTTTGCACTCTCCACGTGCACGTGCTGTTCACGAGGCCTAGAGGGCCACACTCCAGGTCAACACACATAAAATGAAGAATGTCATGGATAAACTAGGACATGTGGTCAACCCTACCTAAGCCTCAAATATCCTTCCAACCCCTTGGCTACAGCCTCTTGGATGCTTCCAATTATATGCTCCCAAAGCACGTGGTGGACGCTCAGACCATAATGTCAGCTACATTCCTCTGTAACTATTTGTCCTCTGTTTCCCCATTGGGTTAAGAGGACCTTGAAAATGAGGGCTAGGTTTTATTCGTGTTTGTATTCTTAAAACCAGTACTGTGCCTGGGACAAAACAGGCACTAAATATATTGACATTAGATGCCAACAAAATAATAGCTAACATTTAATGAAGGCTCACTCTTTACCAGGTACTCTTCTAGGCACCTGACATGCATTATGTCATTGAATAATTGAGGACATGGGCGCTTTTATTGGATTCATTTATAGATGAAGAAACCAAGACACAGAGAGGTTATCTACCTTGCCTAAAATGACACAGCGTAACAGAAGGAAGAGGATTCTAATCCAGGTCTTATCTCCAGAGCCTATGAAAGAATAAAATAAAGTCTTGAGAGAACTAGAGTTTGGACCTGCAAAATCATCTGAGAGGGATTAAGTTCCCTGCATGTTTCCCAGAGCCTGGCCAGTCAGTGGTGAGTCCATGCTGGGAGAACACCAGGCGTCATTTGCACGATCCTATGCAGTTGACTGAACAACTCTCCACCCATTATCTCCTGTGGTCGTCACAATAGCTGAGATCTCTAGGCAGATTCATTATTCCCATTCTATCGATGTGATCACTGGCGTTCCCCAAGTCAATGAGCTACTCAAGATTCCATAGAAAGGGCCAGAGCCTCCTTTCGAGCCTGTGGCTTTGGACTCCAGGCTCTGTGGTCTTTTTACCAACAACATAATCATCCTGATGTCAATGATTCCTCCTGATGGATTTCTTCATCACGAAAATGGGAGTGATCGTATCTACCTTGGGAGGTGGTTGTGAGGATAACGAGCTGATAGATGTAAAGTGTTGGGTGGCAAGTGCTCCCTAAAGGCTGGTGGTGGGAATTATTGATGTTACTGTCGCCGTCGTTATCATCATCACCTGAGAAGAAGATTTGGGATCCAGGCTAGGCAGATGCCAGGCATGGGACAGTCATGAATTTAAAATAAAATGGCCAAACACAGGAGAGAATGGAAAATCTTGTTTAGGTTCCTAGGCAGGGTCGGAAACATAGAGATTCAGTTCTGCAGATCAGCAGGTTTATTGATCAAAAAATGTGACCCTTGATGGCCACATGACCAATGATCATGTCCACCAGGATCACTAAGGGTCAGAGCCAGGACTCGGGTCCCCAGGCAAGGCCAGGAGCAGACATTTCCAAAGCTGCTTACATCACACCACGAGATAGCTTTCTGTTGTCTGGACTGTGAGCTCATGAGGACACTTCCAGACTACTCATCGTTGAATTCCAACTGTGTCCCCAGTACCTGCTGTGTGGATATTACATGAGTGAATGAATGAACAAGTGGGTACACACTTGCCCAAGCAAGCCAAAAAGCATGGATTGGAACCTAGTAGGGCAGAGAGCCAAAGTAGGTAGAAGAGGAAAGCTTGGGTGTGTGGTACCAAGCCTCACCCATGGACCCTAGCTTGTAAATTCCCTTTTAGACTCCCAGAGAACCTGATGCTGACCTTTGAACCAGAGCCTATCCACCTGGAGGGATGGAGAACCATTTTTCTTGGTTCAAACAATGAAGCATGCACACATGGGGACACACACACACACACACATAGTTTATAAAGATAATAATCTCGAAGGATTGTTTGCAGTTTGCTCCTGACTGAGGCAGGGCCCTGAAGCAGGTGACCTCTCCATGACTCTTCAAGGACCAGCATTCTGCATCCTTCAGCGTGGCGGTTCCTATTCTTTCTAGCGTGAACAACACTTTGTAATTTCAAAAACAATTCTGAAGGTCCCCAATGGAAAGAAGTTGTCTTCTCTAGTAACAATGGACTGTAAAAAAAAAAAAAACAATACTAATAGATGGTGACAGAGGCCTTTGCTGAATTCATCAGTCTTTGGAATGAATTCGTGTTTTCTTTACGCTAAGAACATTTTCATATATTTGAAAATCATAGTCCTATATGTGCAGGGCACAGTATTAATTTATTCATATTCCTTTGATTTACCAAAGCTCACGGAACTTTTGGTCTTTCAAGCATCCGCAGATCTCCCCCCACCCAGGGTTGGGACCAGGTGATGAAGTTCAAATTCTGACTGACTGATTCCACTAAGTAGCTGGTAAATTGAAAGTATGCACATTGCTTAACGTCTCTCAGCCTTGTTTCCTTGAACTGGGATGTTAATCCCTACCCTCCTTGCATGTTTGTTGTGAGGTTAATGGGGTAACATATAAAGCGCAGACGGATGTCCGGTGGAAGTTGTGGCTTCGTCCCGCTGACGCTTCTCCCTGTCTAGCCCGGAGCAAGCCAGGACTTTCTCAATCTCCTCCTTCCTTCCCCTCCAGGTTCCTGATTGTCCTGGGCTGTTTGATTCTGGCCGTCCTGACCACATTCAAGGAGTACGAGACCGTTTCGGGAGACTGGCTTCTGCTGCTGGTGAGATGGGGCGCCCATTGTGGTGCTGAGTTTCTGGGGCCAACGCATCTGGGTGGACTTCCATGGCGATGGCCAGGAGGCTGCCCTTGCGTACGATTCTGCCCCGCTGGTTTTGGCTTCCTGGAGTCTCTGGGCAAGTCCAGGCCCAAGAGAAAGCCATGCCTGGATCAGCTGGTGAGGTCTGGCAGGGGCACAGGGAGTGCCATTTGTTATTCCAGATTAGAGATAAGGGGCGTAAACAAGGTCAGAGCAAAACCCAGCACACACGAGTTATATTAGAACATAGGGCTTCCCAATCCTCGGGAAGTTCCATTCTAAACCCCGCCTCTGCTTTTTCTCCCTCGCATCCTGCTCCCTAAGCCCTGAGGATCTCTTACTCCCTTCAATATAAAATCCCATTTCTGCATTACAGGTCCTTCCCCGCGGGGCCTCTGCTTGCTTTCCATCTCCCTTCTCCACCCTGGAGAGTGAGGTTAGCATCCTTGGGCAAGTTACCTAAGGCCCTCCATTTCCTCCCATCCTTGCCTAAAATGTGTGAAAATGGAAGGTGAGGAGCCAATGCTGACGGGCTGGGTGCAGCCTCAGCCCCAGGCCAGGAGGCTCCCAGGATGGGCTGGTTCTTTCTGCAGCCCCTGACAGCCCTGGTCACTGGTCCTTTGAAGGACCACACCCTTGCTGGATTAGCAGTCAGCTGCCTCTTCAGGGTGAGGCCCCGCCCTCCACACAGGGACAGGCTGCGATCCCCTCAATTAAGGGTCATGAAATAGCAGAACCTTTAACTCCCACTGAGCATGCCCTCCTGGGCGCCAGAATCAGCAGATTGCTTCCAAGGGCAGATGTTTACAGTCTGCGTGTCCGGAGCTGAGATCTGAGAGGTGAGTCCTGGGAAGCCATCCAGTTCCAGGAACTAGCGGCAACTCCCCAAGGATCCAAGGAGGGCACCAAACAGAGGGGCCCCAGGTGTCTGTGTCTGATCAGCAAGGGAGGCGCGGGCGGGAAGGAGGAGACCCAGTGTCTTACGTGGTGGACTCAGCTTGATTACAGAGCCTGGGATTCCTTCTCTGCCACTGGATAGCCTCAAGAAATTTATTTAACCATTCCTTGCCTTGGTTTCTCCAAACACAGAATGAGAATAATATTACAAAACAGGTGGTGGCTGGCCCAGGAGCTGCCCTCAGTAACCCGCTGGCTACAACTAGCCATGCCAGGGGCCGGGCACTGGCCGGGATCAATAGATGGGTTCCTTGATATCTCTCTTTTCACCCTAACTGCACTTCTTAGGGGCTTTTAGTACATTAAAGGGAATTTTGTAAAAATGATCCCTTGGAACAGACACGTGGGAAAAAGAACAAGTAATCACTTTGCAAGGCTTCGTGTTAGGGATGGTTAGCACATCAGAAGGAAGACGGGAGCTGTCCAAAACTGGATGGAGGTGATCAACCTGTTCTTCTGCCCGCTCCACCACGAAAGAAGCAACAACAGAAACCCAGTTCTGCGGAACTTCAGAACAGCAATCGCTAGTTCCGGACAACTGGATCCCCGTTGATCAGCGTCTCTCCATATGTTCTTCAACGCAGGAAACATTTGCTATTTTCATCTTTGGAGCCGAGTTTGCTTTGCGGATCTGGGCTGCCGGATGTTGCTGCCGATACAAAGGCTGGCGGGGACGGCTGAAGTTTGCCAGGAAGCCCCTGTGCATGCTGGGTAAGCCCTGGCCCCAGTCGAGGGTGCCCTATGCCCTTTTTTTGGCGCCTTATTTCTCTGAGGAAGTTTTAAGCAAACAGTGCTCTGCTGGGAAGTCATGTGGCATCGTGGAGGCCAGCCCAGCCTCTGACTTGGCTTGATGAGGAGGAGCTGCTCCAATCTTGCAGGTGCTGAGTTCCTCCTTCCGCGCCTGTTCCTCGTCATGACCCCACAGGGCTGCTATTCTTAAAGCGGGTCAGGGGGGCGTGCCTCTTGGCATTTGGGTTGTGAAGGAGCCAGCTTGCTGCAGGATGTTGAGCATCCTTGGTCCCTAGACCAGTAGCCCCCCAGTCATTGTGACACCCAGAATTGCTTGTACCTTTCCAGACTAGCTATGGTTGGGGGGGGGGGGGGGGGGGGGGGGAAGGTGGGGAGGTGTGACACTGTTACTGGTTGGGAATTACTTCTATAGGACCATGTTATGCCCATTTTACAGAGGTGGAAACTGAGGCTCACGGAGCTGAGACATTTTCCAGTCACACAGGTAGTAAGCAGCAGATTCCATCCTAACACCCCGATCTGGACAAATCTGGCACCTGTGCCCCCCCCCCCAACCTTGTTGCTGTGTCCTGGCCCAAACGTTGCTCTGGGGAGGTGTCCCTGACACCCCTGCATCCAGGTGCAGGCATTTTCAGAGCAGAAAAGGCATACCCTCTCACTTAGGCCTATTGGTGCAGCGTGGACCCATGTGTTGCCAACCGAAGATCCTGCTAAAATCCTACAGTGACAGGACAAAATCTGCTGCAGTCATGGGTCGGAGTCTGGGAGCTTCGAATTCCTAGGGATGGTTAAAGTTACAGGATCGTAGAATGTCAGGGCTGGGGGGCTGGAAGGGGCTTTTGGTCCAACACGCCCTCCTGTCGGATGCTCCAGTCTCCTTTGCAGCAGCCTCCCAGTGGTCGCCCAGACTGCTCGCATACCTCCAGTCATGGGGCGCTCACCATCTCCCGAGGTGTTTATTCCATCTTAACTCCTCTGACTCTCTTCAGATAGTTGAGTTCAGCCATTCTATTCGTCCTCTCCACCCCAGCACAATCTCCTTTTATCAGGAAAGACGTGCTTGTTAGCGCCAACTGCACCTTGCATCACACGTTCTCAGCATCACAGTCCTCTCCTCTCAGCTTGCTACAACTATTCTTCACTGCCCTTTTGAAGGTGACCCCTGGGACTGAACACAGCCCTTTGGGTATGGATGGCCAGCCCAGGGAAGAACCAGACCATCCTGTGTCCTAGGTACCAGACTTCTCTCCACGCCACCTGGCGGGGCACTGCCTTGTCTGCAGCACCCTCACTTCTGTACCACCCTCACTGTCAGCTGAAACCTCTCTTCCTCCTTCCTGTCTGTTGCTGAGCTTGGCCACCTGAGGTTCTTGTTTATTGCTCAGAATTCGGAATGCAAGTCGGGTGTGTGTGGGGGCGTGTGTGGGTGCACACAGTTTTGGAGGACTTTTTCATACTGATTGTTTTTCTTCTCTCTTCCTTTGTCCTCCTTCCCTGTCTACCCCTGTCTTAGTCCGTTCGGGCTGCAATACAGAAACCCACAGATGGGGTGGCTTCTAAGCAACATTTATTTCTCACAGTTCTGGAGGCTGGAAGTCCAAGATTGGGCTGCCAGCCTGGCCAGGTTGTGATCAAGGCCCTCTTTCAGGTCACAACCTACCGACTTCTTGGACTTCTCGCTGGATGGGTGGAAGGGTTGAGGGAGCTCTCTGGAGTTTCTTTTATAAAGGCACTAATCCCATTCATGGGGGCTCCACCCTCACGACCTAATCACCTGCCATCACATTGGGGTTAGGAACTCAACACGTGAATTTTGAGAGGACAAACATTCAGTGCATAGCAACCCTCCACTTTCCTTCCCTTTGTGGGGGATCAGCACTGGCCACCCCAAAATGTGTCTCTTTGGCATGAGGATTGTTTGGGGCTGGTTACTTCTAAAAACTGCAGACAAGGGAGAACTCTGGAAACCAAGCAGAAGTTACCCTTTGTAAGAGTCATTTACACTTGTAAGGGAAATCTCCATCTGTAAAGGTGTCTCCCTCTCTGTACCAGGAAGAATTGGGGATGACTTTATTTCTAGAAACTCTTATCAATGCAGAAGGCAAGGACTTAAATCTGCATAATAACCTTACTCTTGTTTACTGTACTTTTCTGGAAATCTCCCATAACTGACTCCCCCCACCCCCAACATCCTCCTTTGTCCTTAGCTGAAGATGGTTGGCGAGTTGTTCAGCTTGCCTGAGCCTCTCCCATGTATACATGTTATAAAGCTTTGTTTGATTTTCTCCTGTTCTTCTGTCTCATGTCAATTTAATTCATAGCCCGGCCAGAAGGACCCAGAGGGTGGAGGAATTCTCTTCCTCCCCACATCTTCCTCTCCTTGTCTTCCTCTCAAGGCTCTTGCACCGGTGCGGGTGTTAAGCTGACTTCTTTTTCTTCTTTGGAGCCATCTATCCAGTGCTGACCAGAAGTCGAGTGTGTGTGTGTGTGTGTGTGTGTGTGTGAGCTGGGGTGGGGGAGGTGACTTGGTGGTTGACAGTGCCCAAATTCAGAGATTCCTGCCCAGTTCGAGAACATCCCAGCTAATGGAACCTGGACCGCTCCAGCACGGGAGCATTCCCCACGGAGCAGTCGCCCCTGTTCCAAGACAGGCTGATGTAACAGAGAGCTGCAGAGCATGCTCCCCTGCCCACCTGCCCCGGAGACATGAGGCCAGCCTCAGCACCACGCCATCCCAGCTGGCTCCTTTTCTGGTGTTGCTGCATTTCTGCTCTGCTCATCTCCACTTCTCCCATAACATAGCCCTTGTGGGAAATGCCACCTTTCTCCGTGTGTTTGACCAGAGTATGGTTATCGTATCCATGATCATCATGACCTTCATGCTCCGGGCAGACTCAGACCTCGCCATTTCGGGTGCGATGGGTCTATCCAGGCCGGAATCCATCATCCTCTCTGACATCATAGACTTGAGCCATGTTTACCAGGCATCTCGGTTTGGTTTTGTTTCCTTTTCCACAAACATTATAAGTGGATAGTTTCACACAGATAAACTGAGAAGCCTGGCCAAGGATACAGACACTAGTATCCAGATGTTTGACCCCTAGTTTTTTCCAAGCTTAGACACATCTGGAGGACTCTGATATGGTACAAAGGGTGCCAGCTTTTTTGGCAAATGTACCTGGGTGTGAATTGAGAAACCTATTCCAAGCTGATAGACCCGCACATGCAAAGGTACGGAGGTGTGAGAGAGCACTGTGTGCTCAAAACCACACATGCTTCTGGAAGGTTCCCCAGGGCCAAGTCACAGAGGGTTTTCAGGAGCTTGAACTTTGCCCAGCAGAGAAACATTCCTTGGAACTCTGATGCTCTTGCCAAAAACAGTTCCATGGTTGAAATCTTTTGAGGAAGGCTGTACTTCATTTGTATAATTGAGAGTCACAGTCCGTATTAGTATATTAAAGGCTCTGAGAAGTCCTGCAGTCGCAAACCTGTTTAATTGAATTTCTCCCTAATTGACTTGACTGTGAAGTCCTTTTCACTTGCTAACCCTCTGTAGTACAGTGGGGAGACCATTGATGGGGGGCTTGGGGCCACGGAAGGGAATAAGGAAGAGACCAGGGCACATTCTCTTCCATGCTCGGCTGTTTGACTTCAGGAGCCAGCCTGGCCCCTTCAGGAGCACCTCATCCCCTTGACCTCTCTGCTTTCAGCTGCAGCTCTGGTAGACATTTCTCTGTCACCTCCCGACACCAGCATCCCACTTCATGGGTGGGGCTCATGTTTTTCCACAGTCTACCCCAGGGCCTTTGCTGAAGCTAAGGGAGGTCACCAGACAGTGCAGCTCAGAAGCGTGGGGGCATTAACAACCCCAGGAGCGACCCTCAACCAGCAGGGGACAGGAGCCGATGGACAGATGCCCCAGCTCCCATCTTTCAGAGGGACGATCTTGGGAGGTTCTGCCTGCAGCTCAGAGGCTCCAGCGCCGACCTTGATAACACCCCTTATGTCAACTTTTTCTCCTTTCCTGTCTCCCTCTCCCCTCACTTCTGCTGCCTGGCATCATCTCTCAAAAAGGTACTCACAGCCGAGTCCGGGTCTCAAGTGCTGCTTTTGGGGGAAAACCCACAGTAAAACTGTCTGCGCTTCAGGCTTCAGCTCCACAGCTGGGGCAGCCTTGGTCCCCTCTCTGCCAGGGAGTGACCCTCAAGTGCCATGCTGGGGAGTTGCTTCCCTGGGATTTAGAAAGAGCGTCGGAGTCCAACAGGCCTGCCTCCGATCCCAACTCAACTGCATCCGGCCGCGTAGCCTCCTTGGGGAGGCACTCGTGTTCAGAGCTTCTGCTTCCTCATCTGTCACAGAGAAGGATCCTACTTCCTGCATGCAATTATGTCAGGATTTATCACAACAGCTGTGGCACATGCTTGTCTGCCAGCAGACAGTGCCCGTGATGGCTCCCTTGCCTTCGGCTGATCTGCTCTGCCCTCTCCCCTGCCCCCTCTCTGCCCTCTTCCGCAGACATCTTCGTGCTGATTGCTTCGGTGCCGGTGGTTGCCGTGGGAAACCAGGGCAATGTCCTGGCCACGTCACTGCGAAGCCTGCGCTTCCTGCAGATCCTGCGCATGCTGCGGATGGACCGGAGGGGCGGCACCTGGAAGCTCCTGGGCTCGGCCATCTGTGCCCACAGCAAAGTAAGTGCCACGAGAAGCCACGAGACCACGTGGGCTTCTCACCCACCTGTGCCCTCCCATGGCATCTCCTCCCTTACAGTGTCTCCAGAAGGTGGTCATTCTGCCACCACCCATGAGGAGGAGGAGGAGCAGGAGGAGGACAAGGGCATAAGCAGGTGTGGAGCAGTGAGCTAGTCTCAGCTCCGCCATATGTAGACGGCTTCGGCCAAGTCACTCAACCCTTTTTGACCTTCAGTTTCCTCATTTCTAAAATAAGGCTAATAGCGCCTTTGCCTCTGGATTGTTGAGAGGATGAAATAAGCTGATGCAAGGCAGCATGGGAGGGGAGGGGAAGATTCGGGAGTCCCACAGACTGGTTTGAATCCAAACTCTACTGGTGTGACTTTGGGGATTTTCTGTAACCTCTCTGGGTCTTGGTTCCTGCATTTATAACATGGGAATGATAATGCACTCACCTCATAGGGTGAAAAGTGCTTAGAACACACCCAGCTCGTAGAAATCATTCTCCTGCTGTTGTTATTATGTAGCAGGAAGCACAGTGCTAGAACTTAGTGTTGGACAGACCGGAGCTCACCCCAGGAGTCAGGCTGTATTATTATCCTGTTTCACTGATAAAGAAGCAGATAGGGAAAGAGGAAGTAACCTGTCGAAGGTCACAAAGGTCACGCGGTGGGACATAAACCCAGGCGGTGCAGCGCAGAGCCCACCTTCAGTGTTTGCTGCCGTCCTGGTGGTGCCCCCCGTCGCCAAGGGAGATCAGAAGCTAGCAGAGGTGGGACTCGGTCCGACCGCTCCTGGAGTCCCACATGGTTGAGCAGGCGCGGAAACCCAGGCGGGTGGAGACCAGTGTGTCTGGAGCTGCAGTGCTCCCTGTGTTTCTTTCCTGGTTAGCTCAAACCTTTGCTACCACTTTGTTTGAACATCCCTGCCTTAGCTGGACCCTGGAGAAATGAGGGAAGACCTCTGTGTCTCAACTCAGACAGGAAAAAATCCCTCAGAGGCCAGTGTAGGAGAAGTCAGAGCAGAGGACCCCTGGGGCAGCTTTTCTTCAGGGGATAAAGTCAAGGCTGCCTTTGTCACCACGACAGTGTCTTCTTGTGCCAAGCTCGGTGGGTACAATGGATACTGTTGGTGCCCTGCCCAGCTGCCCTTTCCCAGGAGGATGTGCCTGCCCATCCCTCAGCTGCTGTGAGAATGGGCTGCTAATGTTCCCAGCTGTCCCGTTCTCTGGAGAAGTAAAGGAGAGCTGCTTTGCCCAGGAGGTTATATTGTCCTTTCCCTCCTCCCCTCACATCAGGGGAGCCCACGGCCAGTGACTAACTGACACAGGGTACCTTTCTTCACGTTGGGGCCAGCTCTGTGGAGCACTTCACACTCCAGAGCTCCCCATGGGTTGGGACAGAAAGAGGTGCAGCCGAGACCACATCCTTGCTTAGCTCCTTCTCCTGCCCAGTCTGGCTCCCCTCATTCACTCTCTCCTGAGACCACCCCCCCCCCCCCCCCCCCCCCCCCCAGTAATCACATACAGGTAAGTCACATGCACCCGCATTCCCGCCTCTGGCTCTGCTTCTGGGGAACTGCACCTAAGACAGTGAGCCAGGGGCAAGTTGACCTTGACCTTGGGGAGCTCAATTTTCCTTAGAAGCGCTCACATCACCAGGCCACCTCCGACTGGACAACCCCAGCACAGCTGCTGCGTTCCTGCATCCCAGGGACACACCCACATACATTGCGGGGTGGATTCCTCTGAGACGGTGTCTCATAGTAGAATGAATATGAGCTTAGGAGTCAGACGGCAGCTCTGCCACGTTCCAGCCTGAAGACTTTAAAAGAAGCTGCTGTATCTTTACAAGCTTCCTCAATGGTTAAAATGTTAATCCTTCTGGCTGCTCACAGGAGAAAAGATACATTGAAGCCTGGTAAATACTAGGCGCTCATGAATGGCAGCGTTTATAATTCCAAATATGCTCTTCTACACAAACAGTACAAGTAAATATGTAATTAAAATGAAATACAAATTTAAACGCCTTAGAATGCAGGGTCTTCCCATACATGTTTATTCCCTGTCTGTGCTCCTCTGGCCACAGCCTTGGTGAGGTCAGAGCATCCTCTTGAGACTTCTTTCTTCTGCCCGCCCTTCTATTTTATCTTTTCATCAGAGGATGTGTTAACAACACCTAACCTAAATCCGGGCGAAAAATGGTTGGTTTGGGTCCTGGTCCTGTGTTCCTTCAGATTAGAATAGACAACAACTGGATGTTTGTCATGGAATTCCTGGGAAGAGATGGGTCCATGCCACCCCACAGCTAGGCCAGAGGGACAGAACTTCAAGACAACGTCACATCTCTGTGGTGGGAGAGTGAAGGTGGGAAAAGAGGCTGCTTGTCCAGCTCTGTGTCCCATCTTACCCCAACAGTCCCCACTAGACGGGCTCTTAGCCTTTCCCTGTTCCTAAGCTGCAGAGCCGCTGCTGGGCTGGCCCTCGCTGCGGGGGCAGGCAGTGTGTGTAGGAGTTAGCACTTGCCTGGGTGTGAGTCCACCTTCCCCATTTATCAGTTCCTTCTCTGATCCTGGTGAATAGACACTTATCAATTCATTTCTTCATTCATTCATTCAAAAAACAGGTACTCTGGGCCAAGTTCCACACGTGGCTCCCCTGGGAGTCAGAGATGCAGAGCACAAGCCCATGTTACACAGGGTTAGACTTTTAAACTTAGGATAGGCCAGGCTCTGCTTCCAGAACAAAGAAGCTCTGGGATCTCTGAGACCTACTATAAAACCAATGACCATCTTCTCGCTCACACGGTGTCTGGTGTGGGCTGGGTGGCCCTCATGTGTCTTGAAAATGAGGCTTGAGTCACCGAGGCAAGGGAAGAGGGGCGTGTGGCATCCTGCAGACTAGATTTGAGGAGCAGGCAGCAAGTTTCTCCCATCCGTCCCGCACACTGGCTAGACCCCAGGCCCTCAGCCTCAGTCTGAATGCTGGGGTCCTCGGGCACATGCAGGAGCCCGTGGATATCCGGGGATACCCACAGGCTCTGCCACAGAGCTGCTGGCAAAAGTCGTGTAAAGTCAGAATTACCTTGGATAGCCTCTTAAATGACTGCAAAGCACAGAACTGGGGCACATCTTCATTCCTCATCAGTGACCATTATACCACCCCTTGATGGCCCAACACAGCCAGTCTTTCTGTGCACACGTGAACAGACAGCTGTTTCCTTGATTAAGCACCAGACGAAACTTCGGACTCATATTTGGGGGCCAGAGGGTGGGAAAAAACATAGGAACGCTAAAACCACACCCAACAAGGCAAGAGGATCCTGCTCCCATAGCTGCTGGGGAGGGACGATCCGGTTCACCTTTCCCTTCTTGAGCCCCGAGCTGGGCAGACCCTCGCCGAGGGAATGGCTGGCTGCATTGCTTGCACCGTCTCAGCTAACCTCTCTCTCTGATGTGGAGTGAGCTCACAGAGTGCTCTGTGCATATGATGCTGTGCGGGAGCCAGACCTGTATGCAACTGAGCATAATGAAGTGTGAGAGATTATAGAAGGCTTTTTAGAAAATAGAGATGGACTCCATCTCTGGTTGAGCGAACAAATGTTTGGAAAACTTTCATAACGGAGGTGATGTGAGTCTGAAGATGACTCGAGGCTCTTTGGTTGGTCCCGTGGGGAAAGACCGTTCAGGCAGTGAGAGCAATGTGGGCAACGGCACGGAGGGAGGCAGGCAGCCACCCTGTCAGCAAGATTCTGTAGACCCAGAAGGAAGGCCAGCTGACTGGCCGCAGACGGCTGGATAGATGAAGTGTATCGATAGGAACAACTCTGGATGACTCAGCAGGAATGACTGACCTAATCTCCAGGCTGCGTTCGCCAGTAACCTTGACTTTCATCTCGCCCAGCCTACCTCGCTAAACCTTGAAACTGGAACAGAGTGAGAGAAATAGAGGGACCCTCAGGGATTGTCTCCGTCAGGGGGTTTCATTTGCCCATCTTCGCTGTATCTTTACACCATCCTTACTGGTCCTCAACATTTTTCTTTAAATCGGCTTACTCTTGTGTACTTACTCATATGTCCTGATCTATCAGGTGATAATATCCTTGAAGTGATAGGTTGTATGTTATTTATAAATAGGGTTTTTAATATGGTTTAAATCGAGACGTGACTAACATAAAAACTGCACTCCACCGGTAGTACACATGGCACTTTCTAGAACTCTGTGGTCCATTTCCTTCATTTTAAAAATGAGGAGGAGGGGCAAGTTGCCTAGGGTCACACAGTCAATTGGTGGTGAGGCTGGGTCCTGGCCACAGCTCTGTCTGCTGTGCCGCGCCAGCTCCCCCTTGCTGTCGGTTTCCCAGTAGAACCAAGCTTTGTCCTTGCTCTGCCCAGTCCTGCACAGATTCAAGCCTCCTGAGTCCCGAGCATTGTCCCAGGGGTAGTGGCCGGTTCCTCCTGCTTTCTCGCCTTTCTGTGAAGCCTCTTGGGCTGTGATATCGAGGTGACCCAAAGGCAGAAATCTTCCTCTCCTCCTAGAACCATACGCTAATGACCATATTACTTATCCCATTTACAGTGAAGGAGGTGAGGATCAGAGAAGGTAAGTGACGAATCCACAGTCACAGAGCTGGCAAACCTGGACTCCAGCTCCAGTAGGTCTGCCTCCAGCATCCACCCAGTGACCTCCCCATGCCCACTCCCCTTATCCACTGCTCACTCCCCAGGAGCTCATCACCGCCTGGTACATCGGGTTCCTGACGCTCATCCTTTCTTCATTCCTTGTCTACCTGGTTGAGAAAGATGTACCGGATGCACAAGGAGGAGAGGTCAAAGAGGAGTTTGAGACCTATGCAGACGCCCTGTGGTGGGGCCTGGTGAGTCACCGCCTTGAAGGCCCCCCCACTGGGGATTGACTCTTAGCAATGGGGAGAGGTGGAGGGCGTGGCGTGGGCATGCTCTGCAGGGCAGCCACATTCTGCAGTCCCTGGTGAGAGCTCGGCCTCCTGCATTTCTGAACCTGCCCCTGCGAGGCCCCCGCACGGTGTGCTCTTGGAACAGGCTTTGCCGTACCATTTATAAGAAGTCAGGGCTCTGAACAGTCTGTTCCCATGGCCACTCAGGGACCTTACTTCATTGGCTGTAGGCTGTTATCAGCCAAGCCATGCATGTACAAACAGACACCGTGGCCGATGCACACACACGCACACAGACCTTCAAACCCACCTAGAGATGCACAGCCCGCCACCCACAGGGACATGTGATACTAATGCTGACATGGATGGAAGGCTTGCCTTGCTCCAGAGCATTGCTCTAAGCACTTTACATTTATTAACATGTTTTAAGCTCAAAAAACTCCTGTTATCAGCCCCTTTTTAAAAATGGGGAAACTGAGGCATCACGAGGTTAGGTAACTAATTTATGGAAGATCTCTGAGCCAGTTAGTGGTTGACCTGGGCTTCAAACTCAGGCAGCTGGGCTCCAGAGGCCACACTCTTAACTGCTCTGTATCCTGCCTTCGTGTCCATAAGTACGTGTGCACGGATAACCTACACATGTAAATGCACACGGCAATATCCACACACACCAGAACAGACAGGTGCACAGACATTAGACAAGCACACGTATGCACCCAATACACATAAACACGCTCACAAGCACACATATATTCGGAAACATGGCTATACACAAAATCACACATACGCAAATATATACACGAATGTATGTGCACATACACACGTTTGCAGCTGTTGAAGTATTAATGACCGACTGACTAGAGGTAGGAGGTCCTTAACTTAGAAACAGCTATGGCCTCACAGCTCCCGTATAAGTTACTTAGTGCTTGGTACCTTTTCTCACTTGGGAAAAGCATTCCCAAGTAGTACAAAGGCTTATGGGGAAGCTCAGTGGACAGTCACTGATTTCCCCTCCCTGGGAAGCCCCACGTCTGAACTCTGCTCTCTGCAGATCACACTGGCCACCATTGGCTACGGAGACAAGACGCCCAAAACGTGGGAAGGCCGTCTGATTGCAGCTACCTTTTCCTTAATTGGCGTCTCCTTTTTTGCTCTTCCAGCGGTAAGTACCTTCGATGTTCTCCCTAGGGTGACAAGCAGGACCCCTCACTGCCTGGCCCAGCTGAACTTTCCAGCCTCCTCTTCCATCGTTTGTACCCTGAATTCCAGCCCTACCAACTCAACAGCGCCCCCTTACCTTAGGTTTCCTGCCGCTCTGCCATAGGCTGCACTGCTCCGTTTGCCAGCTGCTTCTCCAAAACCCAGTTTCAATGCTGCCTCCTTTAGGCTGAGTCACCCGCTCCCTCCTCTGTGCGGAGCTCTGTGAAGGCATTTCTGACCCTGTGCTGGGATAGCACGTTTCGGTGTCTGCCTCCCCCAGGGGACTGTGAGTTCCCTGGGGGCTGAGATTAGGTCTTTCACCCATGCATTCCGGGCTCCTTGCATATGGCAGGTCCTTTGTATTGGCAAGCTCCCTTCCCTCACCCTATCATTTACTGTTGTGCATAAAAAAAATGCATTTCCCTCAAGAGTAAGTCTTGACCCACGATAGACTAACTTCCCAAAGCCCAGTGCCGTGAGTGTAATAATGACAATAATAATAAATAGCACTGGTTGAACTTACTGTGCACTGGAATCATGCCAAATGCTTTACCTCCATCACTTCATTTAATCTTCATGACAACATTATGAGTTTGGAGCTGTATTTATCTCCATTTTCCGGATGAGAAAGCTGAGGCTTACTTGGGTTAGTAAAGTTTCCACAGCACAAGGCTACTGGGTGGTGGCACCAGGGCCCCCAGGGCTGCTGGCTCTTAATCACCAAGTTTGGAGAGAGAGAACCTTCTTAAATGACAACCCCTCCTTCACGCCTTCATCTCCCATCCATATGTTGGCCATCTTCTCTCTCCGTTGCAGCCCTACCTTGTCTGCTTTTTTCTAAGCTCTTTGACCTTGGGCTTATGACCTTTCTGCATCTCAGTTTCCTGCTCCGTAAAGCGGGTGAGGGGCTGTGGGGCTGCTGCACAGTCTCTGAGTCCTCTTTCAACTTGAAAAGTGTGTGCTTCTCCCCATTCAATCCACGTGGGAGTCTGACCTGGAAATCAAAGCAGATCACAATTCTGGGAAATTCCAGCCACAGTAAAAGTCTCAAGTGACAATTCAAACAGCTGAAATATTTCTAAAATTCTATTAACATTTACTGGCCATTTGTTCTGTGCCGCACGCCTTACTAGGCAGGTCCTATACATTATCTGATTCTTTTTCCTAACAAGATTGTGAGGTAGGTGCTGTTATCCCACTTCCCTGGGGAGGGAACTGAGATGCAGCAGCTGCGGGGCTTGCCCAGGGTCTCATGGCTGGAAGCGGCAGAGTCAGGCACTGAACCCAGGCCCTTCTGACTCCAGGGCTCCATGTAACGCAGCTCCCACCCCCTGCAAGAGAAGGGAGGGGCTGTTCCCCTTCTCCCCTCCGCTTGGTGTTGTCGCTGCGGAGCCCCGGGAGTGGGGGTGTGGCTCCGGGACAGTCCAGGTGGGGCTGACTTTGCTGCGGCTTCTCCCTCCAGGGCATCCTGGGGTCCGGGCTGGCACTCAAGGTGCAGGAGCAGCACCGTCAGAAGCACTTCGAGAAAAGAAGGAAGCCGGCTGCTGAGCTCATTCAGGTCTGTCTGCCCAGAGGTGAACTGGAACGGGCCGGGATCCCCATGTGCCTGTGTCTGTCTATGTGTGTGTCTATGTGTGCTTGCACCAGAGTGGGAATGCCCGTGAACTGCGACAGGACCCAGCACCATGCTTGTTTGTGATGGCTGTGGGTGTTTCTGTGGTTATCCACATGACCTGTCTCTGTGTGTACTGAAAGTCCTGCCACTCTCCCATCCAAGTTCTAAGCCAATCAAGAGACACACACAGGACTCAACAGGGATAGACAAATAGACAGAGATCAACCCATCAGCTCTTTTACTAATAATGTTGGAGTGGAGAATTTGGTTTGGACCTGGGTCTATACTAGGCTTCTCCTTCTCCTTCCCACCCCAGTCTTGACCTAGGAACCCACAAGGAAGAGTCAGTCTGGGGTCCTGGTACTTAGCCAATGAGCTGCAAGGCGATGTGGCCCCTCACATCTGCCAAGGACAGAGAGCTCGTAAGCCAAGAAAGGGAGAGGTGTCTTATGTGTGCAGAATATTGAACAGCTCTCCATTTGTTCTGCCCCAGTAGACAATCATGCACCAAGGGATGTTGGTCTCCTGCCAGCTCTCCGTCTCCATCGCTGTCCCCACCATGGGCTGAGGGACAACAATGAGAGGTGGGGAGAAAGGCAGAAGTGTTCCCTCTTTTACTTCAGGGGGAGTTCCTGCTTCATGGTTTTATGGGCTGTTTGGAGCACAGAGAATGGGAAGGTAGAGTGTGCGGGCTGCAGCTGTATGGGGCTGGATGTCTGCCTGACCACACGCTCGTAAACTTGTGTCCAACTGGACTGAGTGTCTCTGTGGGTCTGTGGGTCGGATACAGGATGGTACATGATGTTATCCTACATATTATAGTTTCTAGGCCAGTCCCAATCTCTAAGCATCTTCTCCATTATCCCTTAAACCCCAAACCATCACAATATCCCAGAAGTTCTAGTATATCAGGATCCAAGCCTCTCTCCTGGCTGTCTCTTGCACCCAGAAGTGGCACAAAAGACTGTATGTCTTCCTATATTTGAGAAGTCTCAAGGAACCTTGTGTCAAGAGAAGTCCCTGCTCCTATCAGAGATTATATACCCAGCCCCCCAAACCCCCCACTGCAGTTCACCTCTCCACAGCCCCACCCCCCACCACACCAATTATAGCTCCAAGATGATGGGGTCAAGGAAGGGTTACTTCCCAAAGGAGCTACAAAAAGCCAAGAATCCCAGCTACTCTGGGTATCACCTCAGTGCACAATTAACCAATGTTCTAATATTGGGGCTTCTGTGTGAAAGTTTAGGGCGACACCCCGTCATCCCTGCCCCTCCTTTCTCATCCTCAGGCTGCCTGGAGGTATTATGCTACCAACCCCAACAGGATTGATCTCGTGGCGACATGGAGATTCTACGAATCAGTCGTCTCTTTTCCGTTCTTCAGGCAAGTGGCAACCCATCTAAACGCTCAGAGCGTGACTGACCTTCCCTCCCGTGGGTCTGGATTTGTGCCTGTGGCCTTCATGGTTTCCTGGAAGATGTCCTCAGCACAGTGGATCCCAGTCTGCGCCATATGTTAGAGTGACCTGGAAGCTTAAAAAATTCCAATGCCCAGGCTACACCCAACCTAATTAAATCGGAGTCCCCAGGGGTGGGCCCAGGCATCAGCATTTTTTTAAGGCTCCCAGATGACCCCAGTGTGCTGCCAGGGGTTCCAGCGGGACAATGTGGAGTGGCTGATAAGGGAAGGTCCCATCATTGTTTGGGCAGGATCAGTGGCTGATGAGGTGGGGAGCCATTGCAGTGGGCCACTCTAGCAATCCTAGAGGCCCTGCCACCTGGGCATGGCCTGCACCCACAGACCACCCTGGACGCTGGGAAAGGACAGGTGGAAGAAGCAGCAGGAAGAGTCCTCTGGCGCCCCAGAGATGTTGATTTGTGTTCTCAGAGGTGGGAGTTTCCATTAAAGGTCTCAGGAAAAAAAGAGAAACCTCTTCTTGTGGCCAGCACCTATAAAAGGGAGAGGGGAATTAATATTTATTGGATATCCAACATGTTCCAGGGATCCAAGTTCATATTTCATGTAATCCTGCACCCTATGAAATAAGTCAGATGTTCTCAAATGTTAAGGTGTGTTAAAATCAGTGGGCGGTTGTGTCCCCTCCTCACACCTGGAACTGGGACCTCTCTGAAGTGTGTTTCTGCCACGCATCTTTGGTTTCATAAACTGTAGTGTGACCCGGTACTAGATGGTTGGCTCCCTCCATCCCCATATCCCCATATCACCCTCCCACACACTCATTATAGGACCTGCCACCAGTGTCTGAACTCAGCCTCAACTCTCCCTTCTTCCCATCACCAGACTGTGGTAAAGATTCAAGGAAATTCACAAGATCTGGGTTCTGCTGACTCATTTCCCTGCATTAAACCTTCTGATGGATGACTATGACAAAGGAAATAAAATCCAAAACCTGACCATGACCAACAAGGCCCCCAAACCTCAGGCCCCTGTTCACCTCTCACATGTTGCCATCTCTCGTGCTGTCACTCTCAAATGGTTCTAGTGGCATCTGCCATTTCCTGTTTGGGGAATTCAGTCACCAAATTTTTTTTTCGTATGTGGGATGCCACCACAGCATGGTTTGATGAGCGGTGTATAGGTCCACGCCCAGGATCTGAACCCACGAACCCTGGGCCGCCAAAGTAGAGCATGTGAACTTAACCACTATGCCACCAGGCCAGCCCCTGTCACCAAAATTTTAAGCCCCTTGTATATGTTAAGTGCTGGACCAGACTGGAGAATGTCACAGGTGACTTGTGAAGGAACCTAACCTTAATCCTGAAGGTGAAGGGAAACTATTTGAGGCAGAGAATGACGTGATCAGATCTCTGTCTCAGGAAGATGACAGAAACGAGTGTGGAGCTTGGATTGGACAGGCTCAAGATTCTAGGCAAGGAGATCAGCTAACAAATGATTGCAGGATTCAGGGTAAGAGGATATGAGGGCCTAGATCAAGGTAGAAACGGTAAGAAGGGAGAGGAGAGAGAGGACTTGGAACGGAATAAGCCAGGGGAAAACCTCAGGGAGCGATGACTTGTGGAAGAGTTAAGGAGACAGAAGAAGCAAGGCTTCCATAAGTGAATGATAGAGTTTGGGTTTGTTGCTGTGATGCTGAAAGCTGTGCCACCAGTATTTCAAATACCAGCAGGGTCACCCGTGGCAGACAGGTTTCAGTGGAGCTTCCAGTCTAGACAGACTAGGAAGAAGGACCTGGCCACTCACTTCCAAAAAAACTGGCCATGAAAACCATGTGAATATCAGCGGAGCATTGTCTGATACAGTGCTGGAAGGTGAGAGAATGGCGCAAAAGACCGGGCAGCATTCTGCTCTGATGTCCACAGGGTCGCTAGGAGTCGGAATCGACTCAACAGCAATGACAACAGAAAGTTTGGATTTACTGACTGTCTTCTTACTTGTAATTAGCTGTGCTTCCTCAGAAGATGAACCATGTGATTCCTTTTGATTCTAAAATTCTATTATTGCTATAATCATTTCAGGTCCGGGATAGCATCAGCCTTCTTTTAGATAGCAAAAGTCTGCTTAGAATGGGCAAGTGGTACCCCTTAAGAGAACAGAGTGACCTTGAACTCAAAAACAAGAACATGCGCAACCACATTGAACACAGAACCAAGACGATTTCCATTTGCTGTGCATCCCAAGGTCTTGGCAATAGGCCCATTCTTTTGGGTTGATGTATTATAAAAAGGCATTGTCCTAGCTGTCAGAGACTTGGATGGATACATTGTGCCACAGACAGCCGCTGTGACATGGGAATGGCTTCTAAACCCAGAGAGAACATTTCTTTCTTTCTTTTTTTCAAGGACAAAAGTTTAAAGTCACTAGAGAATTCACTTAGCAACCATTCTGAAACAAGGCAGCTCCTTGGGAAAAGAAGGTCTCTGAGTTCCAACCCACTCCATATGTTTAATGGCGAAGAAGTAGCTGATAATATCCTGGTGTGTCCTCACCTGCCCCATGAAGGTTTTTTGGTTTTTATTTATGCTTTTAAAAAAATAATGACTTTATTGAGATGTATTTCACATATTATAAGAGGATTTCACATACCATGAAAGGTACCCTTTTAAAGTGGACAATTGGGTGATTTTTAGTATGTTCACAAAGTTGGCCATCAGTCACCATTATCTAATTCCAGAACATTTTCATCACCCCAAAAAGAAACCTTGTACCCATTAGCAATGACTCCTTGTTCCTCCCCTCCCCCAGCCCCTGCAACCATTAAGCTATTTTCTGTCTCTCTTCTGCCTAAACTGGACGTTTCACATAAAAATGAAATCTTATGATTTCTTTCACTTAGCATAAAATTTTCAAGTTTCATCTATGTCGCTGTGTGTATCAGAACTTTATTCCTTTTTTCTGGCTGAATAATATTCTATTATATATACCCCATTTTATTCATCCATTCATCAGTTGATGCACATTTGGGTTGTTTCCACCTTTTGGCTGTTATGTTGCTGTGAATGTTCAGGGACATGTCGTGTGGAGCTATGTTTTCAGTTCTCTTGGGTACATACCTAGGAGTGGGTTTGCTGGGTAGTATGGTAACTCTATGCTTAACTTTTTGAAGAGCTGCCAGACTGTTTTCCATGGTGGCTGCACCATTTTACCTTCCTCTAAAAGATTTTAAAGACAAAGTTGTGTAGTCCATCCCTAGGAGTGGTGCCATATTGATTTCCAGCTCAGTGTAGTCCTTTGTTGATTTGCAAGTATATATATGTTTGGGGCTAGCAGTGATGGATGATAGTATTGCCTATTTGTTTTTCTTTCATTACTATTTGAAATTATAATCTCATTATTTTTGAATTGTAAAGAACCTCAGAGAGTTTCAAGTCCAATCCCAATTTTATGTGAGAAGAAACTGAGGCCCCCAGAAGCTCAGAAACTTGCTCAAGGCCACACATCATGTGCACATAGCTGAGAACAAACCTAGGGCTTCTGATTTGCTGGCCAATGGAGACTGTGCAGACTCAGTACAAGTAGGTGGTAGGAGTCGGAGAAGGTACGGGAAGATCCTGGGGGGATGGTAGATTGTACATTCTTATGTACAAGCAGAGATGAGGGCAGGCATTAAAAACAAGATGCTGCTTTCCATCAGCGGAAGAGCATGCACACTGATTGGTTTCCTAAAAGTGCTGATGGAGTTATGTATAGCTGCTCTGTCCAATATGGTATCCACTAGTCACATGTGGCTGTTGAGTATCTGACTGTTACTAGTACAACTGAGGAACTGAATTTTTAATTTTAATTTTAATAGCCAGATGTGATTATTGGCTACTATATTGGACAGTGCAGTTCTGGAATCATTAGATAGTAGAACTAAAATGGAGAGGAGGATTCTTGGGCCCAAGAAGTAGAAGTTACTTGACTAAGACGACCCAGTTAATTCATTGTGTAACCAGGACTTGTTCCTTTTATGACCAGGGTCAAGATTATTGGAGTGTGTAGAAATGGAGAATGGGAAACAAGCAGTCATCCTTCTCTATGGCCAAATCACATTGGATCTGCTTTCATACATGCTCTCTCATTTAATCTATAGAATGTCCTGGAAGATAAGTAGAATGGGTAACTCCATTTTTCATAACCACAGTTTTATAGGTGAAGAATCAGAGCATCAGTGAGATTAATTAGCTTGCCTAATGTCACCCAGCTGGTAAGTGATGCAAGAGAGATTGGAATCCAGGTCTTAGGCCAAAACCCATAGTATCTGTGAGAAGAAAAAGTTATTTAGGGAGAAAACTGGGCAAAAGTAAGATGAGACAAGGATTATTGGGACAATAATACCCCTCTCTGAAGATTGTTGTTTTGCAGGTCAAACTGAATAAAATGTGTGACAATGCATGTCACAGTATCTGGCCCATAGAGGGTGTCAGTCTCTGCTGGCTGAATCTGAGCTGGAAGGAGGCGTTGGTGTTATAGTGGGAAGGCAAGACACTAAGCCCCCAAATTACAGTCCTGTGAAACCATGTTAGTGACAGCGAGGCTAGGACACCCCATCTGGAATTGGTTACAAATTCGTTTGTCCCATTCATTCAGCAAGTGTTGACTGAGCATCTCTTATGTGCTAAGCACTGTGTTTGGCATTAGGACATAACAGTGACCAGGAGAGGCTCAACTGTGCTGATCCTGTCACAAGATGATGAAGACAAGGATGTTGTCACGGAGTTTTTCAGGGCTGTGGCTAGAGCAATCTCAGTGGAGTAGTGGACATAGAAGCCAGTTTACCCGGAGTAAAGAGTGACATGGAAATGAGCACATGGGGACAGCCAGTGCAGACGGCAGCTGCAGGGGGGTGTGGGGCCAGGGTTTTTTCCTTGACTAGAAGAGTCTAGTAGAGAGGGATTCCTGTGGATGCAGTGGGGAGGGAAAGAACTGGAGGAGGGAGCATGGGTAGGGGCATGGGCTCCAAGGCACAAGTGGAGGACTGGCCATCATCAGGAGCGTGGACCCTTCATCCATCAGCACAGAGGGGAAGCCAGTAGGTGGAGCCAGCTGTAAGAGGTTGTTGATTTAGGGGTGGGACCATGGGGCAGAGCTCAGTGAGAGATGAGTTAAGGCCACTGTTTTGGAGGGAAGTGGGGAGGTGGGAAAGTGTGCTGATAGAGGAGACAGCATGAAATCCTTATCTTGGAAAGTGAGAAAGGAATGGAAAGCGGTGGCTCTGATTCTCTAACACTGCTGCCACCGTGCCTTCTGCTCCTCTCCTGCCCTCAGCTCACTCCCTTGCCCTTTCCTTCTCCTCTTGTTGCCTCCTCTACTTCTCCTAGAGTCAGAGGCCCAGAGACTTCTAGAAATTCAGAGCTTTTTCTGTCCACGTGGCGGAGAAATGGGCCCAGAGGATGTGTGACCAGCTCTGTGAAACCAGATCCTGAGCCAATCTAGGAACTAGAAATTCTTAACTCTCCAACTGGCTCTTTTATCTCTATCGTGATGCCGCCTGCTCTCTCCCCATCTCTCCCACCCCTGCATCCCAGTGATGGGCCAGTTAGTCATTCAGTATTTATGGTGCACTTACCTTGTGCCAGGGTATAGGGTGCCCAGATTTTAGAGCTGAAGAAACAGGGACTCTGCCCCTAGCAGCTCAGGGACCACCATGTAATTCTAAGACGATGTGGTCCAAACACAATCTCACATGGGAATCTCACATTAGCTCAGTCTAGACCCTGGGGAGTTGGATAAGAAACCCAAGGAGGAGCCAGCCCCTCCAGCTAGAACTTCAAGAATGAGTAAGACTGTTCCAGGCAGAGAAAAGAAGAAGGGAATTCTAGGAAAGCCTGAGCGAAGGCTCAGAGTCATGAATGTGTACATGCCACCTGTGGCCTCGTGGTTGGGAGTGTGGGTTCAGAAGCCAGATCACCCTGGTTTGAATCCTGACTCTGCTGCTTCCTAATTGTGAGATCTTGAGCAATTAACTTAACCTCTCTGTGCATCAGTTTTCTCATCAGAAAAATGGAGATGATAATAATACCTCATAGAGTTGTTATGAGGATTAAGTGAGTTAATCCATAAAGAGCACTTAAAATAGTATCTGCCTGTTAATTATTGCTCAATAAATATTAGCATTGAGGAGGAGGATGTCATCGATGATGATGGTGGTGGTAATAGCGATGGGTGTGTGGCTGCTAAATCATGAAATTCCTGGTTTCCTCGTCTGTCCCCACCACTAAATAAGTCAGCTGAACCCAGCACAAGATCTGGGGCAGAATTGGTGCTCAGCAACCAGTTTCTGCATGAGTAAATTAGTGAACGGCTGAGACGACCCTTAAGAGCTCAGAGCCAAACCATAGCAGTGGGGACCTGGGGTCTGGCTGGGGAAGTCATCTCTCTCGTGGTTCCCCTCCACACTCACCATCCTGTCCTGGAGCTCTCCTCTGTTCCTTCATCTTCATCAAAGGGAAGCTTTGGGGCAAATTTGGGGGAAGGGGAAGCTGTTCCATGTAATTTATGCTTGCTTATTTTTTTTCTCTCATCTTCTCGCAGGAAAGAACAGCTGGAGGCAGGAGCCAGGTACGTTTCTGATTATGAATCCCCTTCTTTCCACCACTGTGTTGGGGAAGAGGGTCCAGTTCTGTAACGTGGAGGGTCCCTGGGCAGCCATGCTGCTCACAGATGGAGTTTCAGGGCTCACTGCTATTGCTGGCCACCATGTTCCTCTGCCACCTGCGTGTTGATTTACTCAAGGGCACTTTGGTGTTTCATAGCAGCAGTCCCTTCTTGAGGGTCTCCTTGGGCTGGATTCTGGGCCTGGAGTCCTGTCTATGTTTTCTCATTTGGTCCTTGTAACCACAATGTAAGATCAGCCCTCGTATCCTCGTTTGTGGATTGAGGAGATTGAGGCTCAGAGAGATTGAGTTATTCCCCCTGGGCCACCCAGCTATTGAGTGGTAAGATCAAAATTCAGACTCAGATTTCAAGATTAAGACCGTATTATTTCCACTAAATATTCCTTCCTTTGCTTCTTGGGCTTGGAGATGTTTCTTCAGAAAGTGAATCAAAACTATAATTCATGACCCCCACAACTGCGGTGGTTTCTCCAGTAAACCATGCTCACCATAGGCTGCTGCAGGGCGGCTTAAGCTCCCAGGTTACCAGCACATCTCTCTCCATCCCTCTCTTTCCCTCTCCAGAAGATGCCACAATATCAGGGAGCCTATGGACCCTGCTCAAGATTGTAAAGAGAGATCATCTCTTGCAAACATCAGTTTAAACTGTTTATATATTTATAAATATAAATATGCATAATATATACATAAATATATATATTTAGTCTATTATTGTTGACAAAGTCCTCTGAAGCTTCAGTCAGTCTCCTGGACACTGCAGCCCCACTGTTGTCCTACAGCTGACAGAATTTGGGCAGAGAAGGTGGCAGGACCCTGAGCCACCTTGTAAGGGAATGACTTGAGGACAACGGTCTTTGGGAAGCTGAGTCAGATCCTTTTGCCTGGGGTCTGTGATGCCCCATCCCGTACATAATCCGTCCTGGAAGAAACGGTCAGAGACAGCGCCGGTTAACTCACACGCAGAAACAATTCAGGCTTTGTTCCTCCTTTGTGCGTGATTTCAGATGGACCGGGCGTTTCTTACCTGGACCCAGTTAGGCCTGTAGGAGACGTTTGGGGAGATTGTAGAGGAGGCTGGACGGTTGGCAGTGACCGTGTCAGGGGACATTTGCTAGAGAACCTGCCCATGGCTCATAGAGGCAGAGCAGGAGGACACATCAGAGATCCAATCCCGGGTGCTTTTGTAAAAACTGAGGCCCCCAAGAGGGCAGGCTCACCCCAAGTTACAGAGCCCTTGAGCACCAGGGGTTACACCATCTAGGTCTCAGAACTCCCAACTGGATGCTCTTTCCTCTCCTTCTCTTGTGAGCAACAGAGTTATAAATCATGCCAGTGTTGACACTGCAGGTGAGTTACTGAGTCTGCCTTGAGAGCCTTTTCTATGCAGACATGAACAGAATTCAGCCAAATTGGAACGTACATGCAAAATATCACTGTGCCTTGGATAAGGCACCTCCAGTTTAATTTGGGCCCGGAGAGATACATTTTGAGGCTTTGCTGGAGATGATTCTTTAGTATTATAAAGGGACTTTCTGAAATGTAATCACCAACTTACACCCCTTTCAACTCCCCGCTCTGCCAGGGGTGCAGAGGAAAACACATCCCGTGATTTCTCAGGGTTAGAGGTGCTGGGTGTTCGCCGGCTCATCCTGCTCAGAGAAGAAGAGCTAGATCAGTTATATAAGCCACTCCATCTCCCCGATCCAGGCTCGGGGAGCAGCATTTTGGATTTGAACAGCAAATAGGTTTGGCTGATGGAATGGCAGGTGCAATGCCAGGTGCGACTGCCGCTGTGAAGCCTAGAGGTGGGGAGTGAGATCTGCAGGAAGGGTGGGTGAATTGTCGACAGGGGAATCCATTCCCGTACCAAAGAAGGCGGGGAACAAGACGAGAGAGCGGTCAGCGATGTGCGTGTGCATTGGATTAATTCTGATGTACCATTTTCCCCCTTAGTCTTCGCTTCTTCAACAGGCTGCCAGCCAACTGGTGTCCCAGTCTTCCTCTAGTATTATTTCTAAATAGCCAGAATCAGACTTGGAGTTCATCTTTTTGCCCTATTAGAGTAGGTGGCCCACACATCTGTTTATTTGTCAGCCTGGGGAAAGGGTTTTATTCTCTGTGACTTGACAGAGCCTGGTTCTGTGTTGGGGTGAAAATAGGTCAGCATGTTGGAAAGAGCTCAAGCCCATAGTCATTTGTCAGCTACTGCTTGTTGCCACCCACCCCCAAAGGGTCAACAGACAGATGAGCTTCTCTGATCCTGAGGATAGGACTCTCATGAGTGTTTTGCTTTCTGCAGACTTGTTTGAGCCTCGCTGACTTCCTGCAATGGGTAGAAGGTTGGCTTTGATAATTTTCTGCTTCCTTCTCGGGATCTATGACTCTGAGGTTAATTAGAAGGAAGAGGGCCAACCTCCAGTGTGGGCTTAGCGGGAGCTGAGCACTTTTCCTGGGTCATCTTAATTCATTCTTGTGAAGATGGGGGCAGTTGACATCCACTCCCGTCCCTTCTCACCTACTTTAGATGCCCCGTCATGGTGCCCTTAGGTAGGACTCAGCACTTCCCTAATAAAGCCTTTATTTTAAATATAGTCAAAACTTTTAAAATTTTCTTTTCCTCTCTAGACCACGCATTCCATAAGGCTAACACTGTGCCTGAAATATAGAATGTATTCCATAAATATTCACTGAATGTGTACAGAAATGACTTAATGATAGGCAATATTGTACCATCATTTTACTTAGGAGGAAATTGAGCTCAAGCATTTCCATAACTTACACCCAAGCCCAGTGCAGAAATAGCCAAGATGGGGATTTCAGGGTCTGTCTGACTGTATCAGACCACACCAGGCTGAGTCCCCCTGCAGCACAGGTGGTTGTCCTGCCCTCCTTGTGACCCAGGAGTAGAGTGAGCTCGGTTACTCTAACAGACACATCATCTTGGCCCTTGTTCTCCCTGGCCAGGAACTCTTCTCTCACGTCTTCATGTGGCTCGCTCCTTCACTTCATCTGGGGCTCCGCCCAGTGTTACCTCCTGAGAGAGGCCCTCCTTGCCCCTCCACCCACTCCCCATCAATCTCTATCCCCTTGATCCTGCTTCAATTTCCTTGGCGGCACTGATGATTACCTACTATATTATGCCTGTTTCTTGTCTGCCTTCCCCATCAGATCAGAGGCCTCCAAGGGGCTAGACTCTGGCTGTTCTGCTCACTGCTTTATCTCCAGCACCTGAAACAGTGCCTGGAACATAGCCTGGCACATGGTTGGCTTTAAGTAGATATTAACTTATTGAAAGAGTAGATGATTAGATGGATGGATGGATGGATGGATGGATGGATGGATGGACAGATGGATAGAAGGACAAACTCTTTGTTTTACCACTGTAATAAACCCAATTTAAACTGCTTTGGACTAAGAGGGAAATGTAATGGCTCACAGAGTCACCCGTCAGAGAGGGTGGGAACCCCTGGTGGGAAACAAGAATGGGACCCTTCCTGGAGTTCTCTCTTCATCCCTTGTCTCTGCTTCTCTTTTTGGTTTCATTCTCTTGGCTGACTTTCGGCATGCTGATAAGGTTGTGGATGCCAGCAGCCCGAGGATCACATATTTTTTCCTCTTTCTTCTGTCCACCTATCGCTCACCCAACTCCAGTTTGAAAGATCCCAGGAAAGCACTTAGATTAGCCCAATTTGGGTCACATACTTGCACCTTGGACAATCTCTATGGCTCAGAGAATAAGAGGCTACTGCTAGTCAAACTCTGGGTCATGTTTCCACCTATTAGAGTGGGGGGTTGGGAGTTGAAGAAACTATGATTGGCAGCCCGCATGAGAATCACTTGGTTGAAGCTGGGAGGATCAGTTCCCCAATAGAATAGAGCCTTTTTCCCAAAGAATAGAGGATGAAACATAGAGCAGACAAAAATGATAGATGCCCATGACAGGCATAAATTCTACCCATAAATTTTCAAATTCCTAAAAATAATATTGCATCAAAGAACATCAACAATAAAACATACTGAGCCTCATTTATTTTCTAGATTATGCCAGAAAAGACTTTGGTGTTTTTTGTTAGGGACATCATTTTGAGCATCAGTTATAACTATTCAGTAGACGTGCAGCAGTGCTGATAATTAGGGGAGTTTGTTTGACAGAAAATAGCATTTTTTGAATTCTCTAAACAGGTGACTGCATTGGCAGCAACTGCTTGCCTGAGCCCAATTGTTCACTTTGTGTTTTCAGACAATTCAGTCTGAACAGCGGCCTCCGGTACTCTTCTCCTCAGTATCGGTCTTCGGAGAGAGAGGGAATTTGCCCCAGGCATCATCTTTTTCTCCTATCTCATAACTGTGTCCTTCCCATTATAAGGCTATCAAGTTTAATAGAGGATCGTTATTTGGATCAAAGAATTCAAGTGTAATAACAGTTATTTATATAGAATGTTTACTATTTGCCAGGTGTAGTTCTACGCCCATCCAGCCCTCATAGACACCCTATGAGACAGAGTATTTTTAACCCCCATTTTACAGATGAGAAAACTGAGGTTCAAAGAGATAAGTGACTTGCATGAGGTCATACAGCTAAGAAAGTAGCAAGAGCAGGACCGGGCTCCAGTTGGTCTTGCTCCGTATTTCATGGTCCCGACCACCATGTTGGTCTTCACAGTTCTTGAGAACAGTTACCCAGTTGGTGGCTGCTGGTGTCCCCTTTTGCTTGTTTTGTTTTCTTTTACCCTTTCTTGGCTCACATAGCTGGAGTCCCTGCCCTGAGAGAAGGCTGTGGGGTCAGGGAAAAGCACAGAGCCAGGATCTCCCGCTGAGTGAAGGAGCCTCTGATCAGACACTGTAATTCACACTTTGCCTTCTCCCTGTGATGTAAGCCACATGAAATTCATCTCACAGGGTGATGGATGATGTTGGCAATAAATCTCCTTCCATGCCCTGGGA